CTTGTCTTATTCCTCTGCGATTTGTATTAATAAAGCTTTAAGGCCCTGGTGATTAAAAAAACAAAAAAACATGGTGGGGCGATTATAGGGCTATCAAAATTTTCAGGACTTGTTTTCAAATGGAATCAGTTATATACTGAATACAAATAATAGCTACCTTTTAGTGAGTGTTTACATGGTGCCAGGAACTTGAATTAATAATTTATTTAACACTTCAACAGCATTAACTATGTACCAGGCACTGTTTTAAGTACTTTGCAAATATTAACTAGTAACCACTATGAGATATGAACTTCTATCATGCCCTCTTCACAGATAAGGAAACCGAGGGCAGAGACATTAGGTAATGTGTCCAAGGTCACCCATCTAGTGAGTGGCAGAACCACAGTTCAAAGACAGGTGGTCTGGTTCTAGAGACCATGCCCTTATGTGCTATCCCTGGTCTGTAACGTTATCACAAATTCTCGCATTACTCCTGAGAAACAGATTAATCTGTTGAATATATATGGAAACACAGCACAATGAGGTTAAATAATCAGCCCAAGGTCACACAGCCACTAAGTGGCACAGCCTGAATTTGCACCAGTCATGTCTGATAGCACACTCCACATTCTGTATGTGAAGCCTTGTTTGAATTGTGATATTTTCTGAAAACTTCCCCCAAGTAATTCATACATTTTTATCTTTAAGTATTTATTATAAACATTTCAGATTAGGAAAGGTGAAGAATAAAACAAAATGTCCTTCATCTATTTATCGTCAACTTGGTGCCTCAATAGTCTTTACCAAAATAGCTAGGAGGAAACTACCACAGCTACACAACTAACGAAAGCCAATATTCCTTTGCATTCTGCCTGGTATTTTGCAAAGGCTGGAGGTCTCATAATTGAGGCAATGAACACACATGGGTAAGGATGGACCCGTGGCTCATCAGTAGCTCAAGTCTTTACTCACTGGAAGAGCATAAATTAGAAACTGATTTCAAAGTCCTATTTGTGTATTTATTAAAATGAACCACATTCAATACTTCTACGCATTTTCTCTTATGAACAGAGACAAAAATTGTGATTTATGCCTAGTTCTGATTTGCACTTTCTCAGTGCAACAAAGAAGATAGCTAAAACAGTTCAATTATTCAAGCCATTTAGCAATTAAAGAGATCTTCATAAGAAGAATAAACCGAGTACAATTTGCGGGAATAATTTTGCATTTTTCCATGGAGTCCCATCTTTCCTACATGTGCCGGAATTCTTTAAAATTCAAGAAGAATCCTCAGAGATCACAAGATGATGTTTTTAAAGGAAAGCAGGACTATAAAAAAGTTATAGAATCTATGGATAAAAATAAACATCCTGGAGAAATTCTTTAAGGGCACTGAAACACATCAAAACTTTTGATGGCATGTGAAAGTCTTCATGATCTGAGTCTGCCTACCCGTCCAGGCTCTTTCCCCATCATGTGTCTCTGGCACTTCGATTCCGCTAGTTCTGTCTACACCTTGGCTACACAAGTGAACTCTCTGGCCTGCCTGCCTTCACATATGCTGACCTACCTGCCTGGAGCTGCCATCCCTATCTTACCCCCTTTGCTGGTCTCTCCCCCTATCCCACCAGATGCCTTTTTAATCAAGTCTTAGCTAATAATTTCCCTGCTTCTTCCAGGCAGAGTTAGCCTTTCCTCTAGCCTCGTGGCCTGTACAGTTATCTCCTTGTGTTAGACTTAGATAAGCTCTGGTTCTCAGTTAACTCCTTGAGGTGAGAACGGAGTTTGCTGCATTGCCGTGGTTGTACCTGCATTTCCGGGATTCACACACAGTAGATGCTTCATAAAGATTTACTAAAATCTGGGGTAAAGGGTGGTAGGAATGACAGAAAAAAAATGTGGGCAAGAAGACATGTGGGTGCTTAGATGTACTGCGTGTGTGTGTGTGTGCACCTCACCCGTGGGTGAGGTATGGAATCAATTGACACTACATGCATAAATTCTGAACGCTAAAACCCCCAATTCGGTGAGTACCTCTTGAGGAAAACCTGACCAATAATGCTTGGAAACTATAACATGATATCGTGGTGGAAGCACAGATTCTGAGGTTGAAGAGACCAAGCTGTGAATACCACATAATGAATGACATTAGAAATACTGAGCTTACCTACCAATATTATAGGCTAGAATTAAAGGAGACATATTATAACCTGGCAAAACTTGGTTTATGACCTTAAAGGAGTGCTCTGTGTATTATGTTTGCAGGTTTTCCTGGTGTTCTACTTTGACATTTTCTTTTGAGATGTTAGTGACAGAGCACTCTGTAATTTCTATAGCATATGACTCATACCGCTAACCTTTCTCTGCCTAAAAAGACTCCCAGAACTTCCTTGGAGGTATTTGTGTGTGTGTGTGTGTATGTGCATGTGTGTGTGTGTGTGTGTGTGTGAATTTTTGTTTTAGTGATAAAGGAATATGATGGTGAAACAGAGGTTTCCTTTTTCTTTCTGCCGAGTTAAGGACTTCGAAAAACAAGAGACTTGTTTGAGGAGGACAATTCGAGGGGAGCAGATGTGTTCAAGAAGTAAACAAAACCTTCCAGGGATGTGGACTACAGAAGAATGGCAAGAAGGGGTGAAGTGATGGAGACAAATCAAAGGGCCAAAAGAAAGAGAAACCAAAACAAAAACCACAAATGGGAGAAGTGAACACACATAAAAAACTACGGAAATACCAATACTGCAGGTTGCATTTTCAAAACAAAAAAGACAAATCAATACAAATCTTTATATATATAATGGGAATGTAACAAATTAACAACAACCGCTCCCCCCCCCCCCCCCCCCCCCGCCACTGACTTATTCAGTCAATCTCATTAGGAAAAAAGTCATAGCCTGCAGAATGGAAAAATCCATTACCTCTCTGAACCATATGTAACACTGGCATTTAAAATTAATTATTGAAATTAAAGTAAAGTAAGTAAAAATTAATTATTTGCTTTCCCCACATGCCCAAGGCAAAAACTAATGGGAAACGGCATAGAAACAAACCAGTTACGTGCACAAATCAGAGGCTTTTGAGTTCTAGTTTATACCACAATGCCGCAAACAAAGGCGGCTGTTTTCTCCCTAAGCTTAGGAGTCCAGGGAGTGTCCCACCTAGGAAGTCACAGTAACTTCCCAGCCAGCTCCTCTCTTCCGGATGTCCCTGTGCCCTCTTTAACTATCCTGCAACAAGCACCACCCACCACCTGCAACTTTGCTGAGCTTTTGCTCCAAGCCCCTTATCTTCTTCAAAACCCTAAGTGAAATCAATCTCCCTCCCACACCTACAACCTCTAGCCCAGACCCACATTCTCTTTCTTAATTGGACCACTGCCTACGATTCCTTAGGAATCTTCCTATCTTCAGTCTTACCCACACCTCCTACCCATCCGTCACTCCGCTGCCAGAAAGAGACCTCTTTCCAAAATGCAGATCTAATCATAGTACCCCAGTCCCACCCGCGCTCCCAGCCCAGCCTACAGTTTTCAATAGGTCACTGTCCCTATCATCAACAGAGCACACTCGGACATCCCTCATGGCATCCAGGACCCTGCATACTCTGCTCTTTGCCTCCTGTTCTCCCTGGATCGACTCCCTGGGCCTGCAGATTCCACATCTCACCAATACCGAGCCACGGTTCCCCACGTCAATCTCCATCTCTCTCTCTCTTTTATCTGTGGTATTTACACAGTCTGCCTGCCTGTGTGCATATCCCACTTCTGTTTATCCTCCTGGCAAGCTTCTAACTCCTCTCTCAAGCCCAAGTTCAAAGAGTGCCTTCTCTCTGAAGCTTCACTGACTTCTCAGGTAGACTGCTGTTCTTTCACCTCAATTCCTACTGCATTTTGTACATATATTTTTGGGCAACATATTTATTTTAATTATTTTAATCTTTCCATTAGCCTTCTAGAAACAGAGGATTTGTATTCCCAGTACCTAGCATAGCAAAATACCTGACACATAAATATTTATTAAATTTTTGACCATGTGGATAAAGAGACTTGACTATAAAATTTTAAACTTTTTATAATTGTGAAAAAGGTAGGAGGAACAGTAGAACAATCTTTACCCTTAGCCTCCATATTATAAATCAAAGCCTTACTGTATCAGAACAAGGCAGCTGACCTCTACACTGTCTTTTCTCTGTCTGTGACCACTCTGCAGCCTCTAGCGGTAAGCAGGAGGGAAGGGCTGAGCACCAGCAACCCGTGCTGCTTCTCTGTCCAGGCCAGCAGCCCCCTGACACACTCCCGCACCTCGACATATTCCTGCACAGCGGAGCCGCCTGACACACTCCCGCGCCCCCTGACACACTCCCACACCTGCACTTCCTCCAGCAGATCCCTGACACACTCCCGCACCTGCACCTTCTCCAGCGGATCCCCCTGACACACTCCCGCACCCCCTCCAGCAGAGCACCCTGATACACTCCCGCACCCGTGCCTCCTCCAGCAGAGCCCGACACACTCCCGCACCCCTGATGCACTCCCACATCCCCTGACGCACTCCTGCACCCCCTCCAACAGAGCACCCTGATACACTCCTGCACCCCGACACACTCCCATACCTACACCTCCTCCAGCAGAGCCCCCGACACACTCCCGCACCCCTGATGCACTCCCACACTTCCTCCAGCAGAGCCCCAACACACTCCCGCACCCCTTGACACACACCCACACCCCCTCCAGTGGAGCCCCCTGACTTACTCCCACACCTCCTCCAGCAGAGAGCACCAAGGGACCTGGCCACGAATCAGATCCTGGGTGCCATCCTGCCGCTCTGTATATTAATAACGAATGTATTTAGCTTACTTTTCATTACGCATAGCAGTCATGAAATGAGTAAAACACACTTTGAGAAAGCATGACGACATTGGTAGAAATGCTCTTGAGCCTCCGCCCACGCGTGCGCATGGGCACACACATGTGCAGGGGCCCGTGTCCAGTCACGCTTGAGCCAGCGCATCCCAGCTACCTGCTAGTTTGATGTTCATGTTGCTATCCAGCAGGAGGTTTTCGGCCTTGAGATCACGGTGCACGATCTTCCGACCATGACAATAATCAACAGCGGACAGGATCTGCCAGAATTTGCGCCTGGCCTCGGACTCATTCAACCGGCCATGATTAGCAAGGTAGTCTGGAATACAGGAGACATTTTAGGATTATTCACAAAAACCAAAAACAAAACCAACAAAAATCCCCACTATCAGTAGTCAGGACTTTTTCCTCCTCAAAAAGCCAGCTTTTTAATTACTTTAATTCCAGTATAGTTAATATACAGTGTTTTATTAGTTTCAGGTATACAATACAGTGATTTAACAATTCTGTATATTACTTAGTGCTCATCAAGGTAAGTGTACTCATAATCCCCTTCACGTATTCAAAAGCTTTTAAAATGAGTTAAGAGTGTTCAAGTACCATGCTGTTTTCCAAGTTCTCTGCCTTGAGAAAAGTAATTCCAATCATATTTCACTGGAATCCAGACAAATGGAGAGAGAGCCCAAGACCAGACAACATGCAAGTGACATAATATTCACAGTCTAATTCCCAATGCTGTTTTATCCCCAAGTATTTCCTCTGCTCTTTTGTTTACAAATTTATTGAATATTTTTCCTAACCACATTAAAAAAATATATGTAAAAAACACGCATGAATCCATTTTTTGACATGTCAGCAGACAAGGGATATCTTTCTTTTCAACAATCACTTCAGAAGCAGTTACTGTAAAAGCCACCTGTAACATAAGATACAGTGATCCCTGGAAGTAGCTTAAATAATGCACAGCCTGTTTTGTTCAGCGGAGCACTTCTGATCTGCCCAAGACTTGTTCTCTAAATCAAATATGCTAGCCATGTTCTTTCCGCACACACTTTGCAAGATACATCAGCTATCTCTATGCAGTGTTATAATCTTTACTAAAGCAGTTTACCTGAGGATTAATTCTGTGTATGTCTACATGAACTCAATAAAACTAAACATTACAGCTCCTTCAATTTTCACTTGAAAATCTTGAAGTCTTCTAAAGTGATCTTTTGCAGGAGAGGGTCAGTGGGAATCTTGAAAAGTTATTCTAAGATTTAAGATTGTTTTCCCAAGTTAGGAATTGTAGTGATAAATCAACATTCAGTCATCTTCATACACTGTGTGTTCTAGGCTACGTGGTTTACTGATACTTCGATTCCAGGGCTTTGGCTCTTGACATCCTCAGTATTTACTGTAAAACTAACATTTGTACAGCATTTTACAATTTATAAAACGTTCATATAAAATGCATCTCAGTTAATGTTCCTAAAAGCACTCTAGGAGAACGATTACGCTAATTTTCATCTTACCGTTGAGGAAGCTGAAGATCAGAGGGATTAAGTAATCTGGCTGAATTCATACAACTGGTAAGTGAATAGCTGATCTGGAACCTTTGACTGTTGTTTTTTCAAACCGTATCAAGCTTCTTTACTAGACCTTTGCTTAAATCCCAACTATCCTTTCGAAACCCTGCTCATATGCCACCTTGCCCTTAAATAGTCATCACTTCAAGTAGAAATGATCTCTAGTCTGAACTCCTTACCACTTACAATAGTCTCATACTTTAGTTACCTGTACATATACCATAAACACCTCAGTGTGTATACATGTCTGGGTGTATACACACACACACACACACACACACACACACACACAGCCTAATTCTAACATACTGTGTGTTAGAAAATAAGATACCTTCACTTACACTTTCTGAGGATAGGAACCATACCGTTCTCTTTTGTACTCTCCACACTGCTTTAATACTATGCACAAAACATCAGACGTGCAGTTTTTAAAACTACTTAGCTGATTAAAGTCTGATCTTAGATGGCATCACCATTAGTGTTGTAAAAATATAGAGTATTAGTACTATACATGTTAGAGGCTTTAAATGTAAGCAGACAGACCTAAATGTGAGATCAAAAACCATAAAAATCATAAAAGTGAGAAGAGGCAGTAATTTCTGACATTGGCTGTCGCACCAAAAATAAATAAATAAATAAATAAATAAATAAATAAATAAGGCAGCAGAATCAGACCTATAAATGCAGAGAACAAACTGACGGTTGCCAGAGGGGTTGGGAGTATGGAGTTGGGCAGAATGGGTGAAGGGGAGAGGGAGATAGGCTGGAATGAATAAGTCACAGGAATAAAAGGCACAGCATAATGAATATAGTCAATGATATTAACATAGTGATGTAATGGGACAGATGGTAGCGACACTTGTGAGCACAGCATAACATAGCAACTTGTCAAGTCACTAAGTTATACACCTGAAACTAATGTAACATGTGTCAACTATACCCAAATTAAAAAAAAAAAAATGGAAGCAGACATTTTGTATATGCTTCTGTATCTGCTATGATCAGCTCATCACATCTTCCTTCTGCCCTTTTACAGAGCCTGCCTAACAGCCATTCATGATTTAAAGGGAAAAACAGCTCACTTAAGAAATATGTAGGATTTTCAGTCAAAATGTCCAAACTGTCATCAGAGTGACTATGTCTAAGTAAACTGGCAAGCAGACAATGTGCTTTCTGCTCATAAGAGTAAACCAGAACCTCATTTCTATGCTGGATCAACTGGGAAAGCCGTTAACGAAAGGTCCGTGCCTTGGGCAAATACACCTGACTGAGGGAAACGCAACATGTTTTCTGTACGGGATTATCTTCTGGCTAGTAAGCATTATCTTTCCTGAAATGCCACACCAAATGCTACTTAAACTCTATCTCTAAAGAGACAGTTTTTTTTTTCCCACAGACAAATAAATGGTTTCTTCAGATAGATAAAATTTCTTTCTGTTGAAAATGAGGAGTCAATTTGAGTTAATGGAAAAAATGTTTGTGATTCTGGCAACACAGAGAAACCCAACAGGTCCAAGGTGAACAAAGAGAAGCATATGGGAACAATGACAAACTATTGCCTACAAAATGAGTCCTGGGAAACAAGACAATCTCGAGAATAGACTGGTTTTTGAAGCGATCAGTTCACATTAATACTACCATGGCCAAGGGGGAAGAAAAGCTCTGAAGCCAGGCAGGAAAGGTACAGTGTGGGGGTGGGAGTGAGAAAGGCATGGTCTGCCTGAATCTAAAATCACCATGTAAAAGCCAGGATCACCACAGGTCAATAAACCTGTAACACACTGTGAGAAAAATGAGAACACTCATTTTCCCAGAGATTAAGAGGCGTCCTGTTTAGAGAGGCTGGTATGTTCACCCCGCAAGTGAAAATCTCAGCAAGTACTGCATCATATCCATGACCTTTCTCATTCTGTAGGACTTCTGCAGTGAAAACTGAAAACTCTTATCTTTTGCTGAGAAATCAGTAACAGAAGTAACAGAGGTAAAAACCTGTGGCTGAAATAACATCAGTTTAGGTATACCTCATCCTCCTCAGGGAAGGGCACTGTTATCAATCCAAGCTCAAGGTCCTTGAGGTAACATGCAAAAAGCACACTCATGTTTTACATTGAAAACTTAAGGCCTAATTATAATTACAGAACAAAACTGTTATTTTATTAAAAATTTTTTAATGTTTGTTTATTTCTGAGAGAGACAGAGGTGAGCAGGGGTGTGGGAGGGGCAGAGAGAGAGGGGGAGACAGAACTCCAGGCTCCACGTTGTCAGCATCTATGCTTGGGCTCACTTGAACTCCACTTGAACTCACGAACTGTGAGATCATAACCTGAGTTGACGTCAGATGTTTAACTGACTGAGCCACCCTGGCGCCCCAGTTACAGAACAAAATTGTAAGTGTAATAGCAATTCTCCACACTAATTGCCTATATGTGTATTTTTGGTGAATGGATATAATTTAAACAATTATTTTTTCCTATTTCACATTTGTCCTGATTAAGTAAAATTAACTTTCTATGTGGACTTTAATAATAAACCTTTTTAAGGTTATATTATGTATATCTTTTCTCCCATTTTTGCTTTCATGGTAATGATTTTTATCATATTTTACAAAAGTCATGGTCTGTGACAAATTAGATAATTAAAAAACTGGTCTCTCAATACTGATAATTTGAGAAATACTGGTATAGACAAGTGAATAGGCAATTATAAAACACTGTGAAAAAGACTAGCACAGGAATAAATACATCCTAATATTTTTGTAGATATAGTTTTAAATTTTCTATTTTTTATTAAGAAAATTTCAAACATACATGAAAGTAGAGAAAACGGTATAATGAACCCCCCAGATTTAAAAGTTGTCAACATTTTGCTATACTTGCTTCATCTTTTATTTTTTTCCATAGCAACCTAAAGCAAATCTTGGCATCATTTTGTTTCACCTTCAATACTTTCGTATCTCTAAAAAATGTAACATTTTCTTACATAACCAGAATACCATCACATCTAACAAAATTAACAATTCCTTAATATTATTTAATTCACAGTCTGAATCCCTTCACTTCTTACTGGAATCAGGATCCAAAAAGAGATGTACATTCTGTATTTTGTCTTTGGAATCCTTTTTTTTCTAGAACAGTCTTTCTCCCCCCAACCCCCTTTTTCTTATGCCATTAACTTGCTGAAGAAACTAGGTCAGTCATCCTATATTCTAGATTTGTCTTTTGTTTCCTCATGATATTGCTTAACTTAGTCTTCTATTTCCTGTATTTCCTATAATTTGGAATTCAAGTACAGAATAGATTCAGGTTTAATTTTTTTGGAGAGTGGCAAGAATATGTCATAGGTGCATGAACTTGGAGGAATATAATATCTGGTTCCGCTTTTAGGAGTGCTAAGACTGATCGCTGAGTTCTGGGGGTGACTGCTTGATCTTTCAATTAAAGAGTCTCGTCATTCTTTTTCCTAATATGGTTCGTGAGCTCCAGGGTACATGAGAACCCTTAGAGACCTTAAGCCAGATTGCTGGGATCTATCTCTAGAGTCTCGGATACGGTAGATGCTGGAAAGGGCCCAAGAATTTGTGTATTTTTGAGAAGTAACCAGATGATGCCTAAGATACTGGAATGGGGGCTGCTCTTTGAGAACCACAGCCCTAACTCACTAGTGTTTGAACCTGAACCAGTTACCTCATTAGGGGTTGCAAAACTGTGACTTTCTAATTATTTTATTCCTGCCACATCTGTTAGATAGAATT